ATTTTATCGAAATCCTAACTACAACTGATAAGTCTAATTTCATTCCGTATTTATTCGAACTTTAAATTTGTATAAATTTTCACGGGATCTCTCGGAAGTGGATTCTAAAAATCCAGTAATTTATTAAAAACGGTAAAATATTAATCTAGTGAAGTCAGTGAAGATTAGCCTCCCAGGTGATTGCGATATCTAATTAACTGATAGTGAAACGCATTCGATTGCGTACTTTCAAACACTATTAAAAATATTCATAAAATTCATGCACTTTTAGGACATTAGGTTGTAAAAAAATTGTAAATTTCAAGTCTTAAAGGTAAATTAGTTTACATTTATTATACATTTCTAAATAAATTGAGAATTTTATAACACTATTATATCAAATTGTATAGGCAAAACTAATAAATTTTCTATCTGCTACGTATATAAATAAAATGCTATAAAATTACAATATAGGTTTTAACGTTGCAGTAATTACATAAAGACTCGAGTTTAAAAGTGAGCTCGAATCTTTATGTCATTACTACAATGTTGAAACGAGAAGAACACATCTAAAATATAATTTATATAATGTATACCGAAAGGTGTCAGTAAAACCGTTTAATTTCTAACGTAAACGAAGTACATAACACCAACTAAAAGCTTATTGACTTAAACACGGAACACGTTTCTCGCCTCGATTTCCTCGACAGTCTTAAAAATGTGTACCGAAAATACATCCGAGAAGTCTTGAAAAGTAAAGGCTCGCCTTTAGTCATTACTGCAATTTCTTTGCGAATTGCATCACGTCCGTTCAGGCATTACCAAACGACCTACCGAACCGTTCGTTTGAACATTTTCTGTTTCAGGATAAGAGGGAAGCGACCCGCCGACACAACGAACTGGAAACTAAGATGACGGACATCCTGGAGAACTTAAAGACGCGGTTATTAGTCGAATGATATTTTCCGGCTGACGCAATGCATGGAGAAAAAGGAACGAAAGTTAGACTTAATTGGTATTTTTAAGCCGACTGACGGCCGAGAAACGCCGTCCAGCAATAAAGTTTTGCACCAAAGTTGCAATTTCTTTCTTCTTTCGGAGGCAAGCGGAGCAGAAAGCAGAACTAGAAAAAGGGAGGTTGTTGCTTCGCGAAGAGTATTCGGCGAAACAATGTGCTTAAGAAAATTTATTATCCCCAAAAACATTATCCGGAAAACCCTTCTCTAGTTTCAGACCGTACTTCCTATCCATCGAATTGTCTTCATTCTCCGAACCCGTAAGGTGAAGTGAAACACCCTTCAGATCAATCGATTTGAATACAACACTTTTTTAAGGGCATTAGATCAAACTGTCCGAAACTTTGACACATCACTCCTGATCATCTAAGAATTGTCCTGACACATTGAAAATTTGGATTTTTCAACATAATTTTTTAACTCAAGACCAGAACCAAAATGGCGTCGAGCTCTCATATTTCGATCAATATTACAATCATTGAAGACTCTGATATGAGAATCGAAAGGGTCAGGACAATTTTACGACAATTTAGAACACTCTGGTAATCGATAAACTCGCATTTGAACGGGATAAAGGCTAAAAAAGTGTTGTATGCGCTTGTATGCCAAAACGATGGTAATACGAGGTCTCGGAGTGAAAATTTAATTGACCTGGAAATCACAGATGGCGCAGGGGGTCCCTCTGCAGTCAATTAGAGCCCCAGAAAGCATGAATCCAGAGGATTTCTGGAGTTTTACTTTGATTTCTTTATAATTATTGTACGAAAACGACGGGTGGAGTATGCCATTTGGTACAATACCCAATATAATTCGACCCAGCTGTCGATATAAAAACGATTCAAAAGAAACAAATCAGAACCAAAAAATCAATCGAACGGTTAACATCGAAACCGAACGAAGATCGAACCTAACGTGCAAAATCGAATTCGTTAATCATCCTATCTCAATCATCGTAAAAACTCCCGTGATCCGTTTTGCCATTTTCACAAACTTGTCCCGAGGTGCGCGATCTCTCCGTGGTTCTTATTCGTTCAAATTAAAACAGTTGTGGTTCGGCATACTCTCGTGTACTTCACCACGACGGAGGTAAGTGCGGACTTCTCGTAGAGAGACTTTTAAAACTCGCACACTGTCTTGAATAAAGGACCCGTACTTGGCGGGTGGAAGTCACTTTCGTTAGAGGTCCTGAGGAAAGGAACAACAGTAAACCTTGGGCAATGATTCTTTCGTAATGGCGCAGTGCCGCTCCCAACTCCGTCTTACCTGTAAGGTAATAGACGGAACAGGAAATACTCGCTAATATAAAATTACTCTTCGTATTTCCAATAAATAACATGTAGATTAAATCAATCTCTAAAATTAAAAGAAGTCGCCTTCGCGGAACGATATCATGTACAATGTTAAAGAGAAATTTAATGGAAAACCAATAACTTTTTGCCTTAAATATCTACGAATTATATTGAAGGTATTACCTATCATCGCGGAAAAAGAAAATCTTAACATTGTACGTCAAATTGTCGTTAGAGAAAATCAATTAGGAAAAGGATACCAGGAATTATTACGCAATAACTTAGCAGCTAACTTATCGACATCCTAACTTACCATCAGCAGTTGCAGACTTTATCATGATCGTATTTATAATCTTAATATCATTAGCCGATAGATTTTTCCTGGGAACCTTTATTTATCGATATTGAATAAAATCTGTGAATAAAACCTTCGAGTGTGTTGCGTCCGTAAGGAAAATGTTTGTAGTAAGTAGAGCATAGTTATAACTTCACGAGACCTCGTACCTTCCAGGGAATTTTTAACTTTCTCCGCATTCCCACGGTGTGCATTTGCCCGCCAAATGTTGTTCCTGCCTTCGTGCGAAGGAACCGAACTTTCGGATACACAGGACCATAAAAAATACCCTCTGACAATACGTGATCTAACAAAGGGATGGTCAGGTCATCCTCGACCAGGCTACCCTTTTGCCTACCCCGTAACGATTGGACGTTATCCGGAGACCTAAACTTCAGAAACGACGACACGAATAAATGAGAAGAAACGAAGGAGTCTAAAAGGTCTCTATATTGAACAAACAAGAGTAAATAAATAAATAAATAGAATTAAAAATGCGCAAATTATAAATGGAATATAAAAAGAGACCGAAACAAATACAGAAACGAACTTAAAAGAGTAAATAACAAAATAATCGCGCTAACAGAAAATATAACCATACAAGAATAAATAAATATAAAAATATAACGCTACGCAGGGATAAAAAAGACAAATAGACAAAAAGACGTATAACAACGTTAAAGGAGTACGAGACAAGACGCAAATTATAAATGACAATAACTAGGAAGAGAGAGAGAGGGGCTTATCTTCCTTTTTAGAGATGAATGTGAAGGATTGAGGTGCGGCAATAAGATCTCCTTTTTTCTTTTGCGGTCCGCCAATTGGATTCCAATTGAATAATGCTTTGCAGAAATAACGTGGCGACTACTGGCCAGATTGTGTGTCCACTATCTTAAAAAATTTCCTCTAAATTTTGGCCACGGCCTTTGTCAACGGCATCCGACTTTCTTCTATTTAACGGAATATCGGTGAACCTCCTTGTTCTCTCTCTCTTCATATTTCCCTCCATCTCTCCCTTTACAGATTCTACCTATTACATATTAAGAATAACAATTACACCATCGCTGCCGATGTCGGGGACATTTTTAGGCGACATTTTTAGCCATCCCCGCTACCGAAAACAATCACGAAGAAATTAGAACATTTTTGTATCCCTTCCGCGGCACAGCAACACTTTTCGAGACACTGCGAGTCTTTGCGTGGCTCCAAAAAACGACACTTTGCTTTGTACAACGACCGAAGGAAGTCCTCATTTGTAACTTTGAACGAACTTAACGGGAAGTTACATCCCTCCGTACGCTCTATCGTAGTAGACGTCTGTTTTAAAAACACTTAATCAGAGCTGCTAGGAGCTATTCGCCTTCTAGCGTGCGGTGCAAATAACAGAGTATGTTATGCATTTAATTGTAATACAAGCATCACGGGTAAGAAGCGGCAATTCAAAGGCGACTTGAAGTACATACATACATCTAATTTTGTCTCGTAGTCAACGGAAGTAACGACGGAATTTTGTCTCCCACTTAAGAGACCCTTACTTTGTTTCTCTGGTGAATATGAACAGTTCGCAGAAACGATTATTATAATTAAATAAACCAAACAAGGTACTGACCGTTAGAACTCAAGTGCTGAATACGACGACTCAGGAAAAAGAATAAGTACACTCGTCCGATTTTTGTGGGCGGCGTATGGTGGTCCATCACTGTCGTTTGAATTTTCAAAATGGCGGTTTATAATAGCGATGTAGAGTGAACTGCGCGCGCCAAAAAAGTGCCATCTGACGGTGAAGTCTTGAAACTATTACATACTTAGCATGGACACGCACCATGTTACCGTTCAGTTCAGACCAATCAACTTATTCTTGAAGTTATACGAAAATTATGAAGTGCAAAAAATCTCGCATGGCCTTTCTCTCAAGCGATATCAATGCCCTGTGTATAATAAGCCCGTTTCGGATAGTGCTCCTTCCCCTGCTGGATTGCCTTTTTGGAGTTTTGCAGATAACTGTGCTTAAAAATGACGTCACTGCATATAGCAGCACTAAAAACCCTGTAAGTTTTCGGTGACTGAGTCGGTGCTATTTTTCTTGCTTGCTTTGTACAGGCTGAGACATGAGCCAATGAGAACCTCTGATTGACTTCCGCCTCAATAGTCTCTACAGCCAATCAAAATCTTTTATGTCTCCGTTGTGCGACGCCGCCGAAGAGTGATATACTGGCTTAAGGGAAATATGGAACAGTTTTAGGGCACCGTCGCTAGATGGCTCATGATCGTTGCGAAACTTGGACCACAGGCACTCTGTACTACATCGTGTTGCTAATCTCTGGTTACACTCCAATACATGGAAATGTCGTTCCCCTGTGGTCAATCGCGGTAGACATTTAGCGTCGGTCGGAGTATTTAGTGCTATTAAAAATGAGTTATGATAAAATGGAGAAAGACCTAGGGCCAATACAGTGAGACTAAGAACGACGTAGAGATGTAGTCGAACTCGATGACTCGCTGGTGGGAATGCATTCCGCGTTTGTGACGTGAAAATCGATAGACTAGCGAGAAGAAAAAATGTTGGTTATGTCTTGCATACGTTAGTGCAAACAAACGTGATACAGCTACTCCCCAGATGCAGATCTGAATTCTCGGAAACAATACCGTAGGCTGTCTCAAGCTGGGCAGATTTCGTGGAATCTTCGTGTCCACCATTAGTTAAGGTAATCTGGTATAATGTTAAAGTATTCCGTGCATTAACCTAATGCTATTGAGTCAATGGTTTGATGATAAACATGACACTTTGTGGATGGGTGTAATGCTCCGCAAGGTTGGGTTTCGAAACAATGTCTGAGAGTCCTAAAATGGGCCTGCTTGGCTCGAAAGATAAGGATAAGGAATCGAAAACTGACTCTTCAGCAAAAGATACCTCACCTGGTAATTACCCTCCTTACTGCATCGACAGTGATTCCGAAACCTACGATACCGAAGCATTGAGCATGATGGATATAAATGATATTATCGGCGTTCAATCCGAGGCAGTCAGCGATTCCACGCTGGAGAGCGAAATCGCTGCTCTCTCGCAGATGATAACCGACTCAAAGGGAGAGTCTTCTCAAAAGGACAGCAATGACTCCAAAATACAAAGCGATAACAGTGCAAATAAAAACAGTGGTTTGAACAGGAACATTACGGATGCTGGTGCGGAACAGAATGACGGTAGTTCTTGTAAAAATACTTTTAATGTAGTGGAGGACTTGGCCTCGATGAATACGCTGCAGGGACAGATGTACGGTAACGATTCAGAATTGAACTCTAATAACGATGTTGATTTTGACACGTCACAGTTGCCAGAGTGCTCTAAAACCTATCTAAGTAGTAGTGATACAAGATTAAATAAAGAATGTGAACCCGGCCCGGGTTCATGTTTGGAGACTGATAATAGGCCTGTTGTTTATGCACAAAACAAGTCTGAAGTTGCTTCCATGGGTAAGAATTCTATTTTACATGCATGAAATAATTTATAAGCATTTTATGTCTATCTTGTATCTTAATTGATTATCATGAAATTACATTGTGAAACTGTTTCAGAGATTTCTGCTGATAGTACAATATCTCAGAATGCTGCAATCAGTAGTGAAAATATAGATGTTACTTCTGAAATTCCTGATGAATCTTTAGGAGATCCAATGTGTACAAAAGCACAAGAAGCTCCGATAAAAGCAAGAGAAGAAACTGTTACCGATGTTGTAAAAGTTGCTAATGCTGAAGCAGACATGGAAGAGCATAAAGAAGATTCAGCAGAAGATTCAATGCTTGATCCTTTACAAGCCTCAAACAAACCACAAGAAGATAAAGATGTTAAATCAAATGTATCCAGTTTAAGTAAAAGTCTTCAGCTAATTGGTGAGGCTTATACTTCTGATGATTCTCAAGATAGCGAAGACCAGCCAACAACTTCCAGTGAAACTGTAATTCGTGAGCCTAAAGCAGAGGCTAATGAACGAGTTGTTGATGCCAAAAAGCATTTAAGAAATAAATCTAATGTTACTTTGTTAAAGGATCATTCCATTGAAAAAGTGGAGATAGATTCATCTCACGTTTCTGTTACAATTTCACAAAATGTACAGAGTGAATCTGAGATTGCGGAAAGCAAAGAAGAACAACAAAATGATGATTCTGATAGTATCTTACTTCAACAAAATGAACAGGTAAAGGAAGATACTGAGCAAACTTCAAACTTGCCCATAGAATTAAAAGCAGAGGTCAGACAATTAGAAGATCAGTCATCACTTCAAAATGAGCAACGAGATAAAACAGGTGTAACAGCGAAAGAAGCAAATTCCAATGATGAAATTGCCATGAATCAAGATTTACATGATACTGTTGAGTGTAAAGCAGCCATTAATGATTCTGTTCTTGAAAAAAAATCTGAAGAACTCAAAGACGATAAAGTCAAAGATCAAGAGAAGGAAGAACCAACGCCTCGATCCGAAGAAAAAGACAATGAACTTGTAGAAATTCAAGCTTCTGTTGAAATGGAATCTACTCTTCAGCAGGAAAATCTTAAACATTTAAACGATAAAGAAAAATGCGAAGAGGCTAAACTTTCTCAAGTCAAACGCAATAATCCATCTGATGAGCTCGAAACTAAAAATCTTCCTAAATCTCAATCAGGGGAGCATATTCTTCCTGAAATGGATTTAGAAAATAAGTTTTCGGATATTGAAAAAGGATCCATTGAAAGTTCAGAACAAGTCTTAGTTGTAAAAGAGAAAGTGAAGGAAATGGTTGAGGACGAAACGACTGAGCATCTTATCAAAACACCATCACCTAAAAAAGAAGATACAGTGGGAGAAGTTAATGAAATATCAGAAGATACCAATCCAGATAATGTAGAAAGTGATAAATTATTTCATACAGCTGAAGATGGACCTCCGGTAAATGAATCTAAAGTGGCCAATTCTCCTACACTAAGTGTTACTGAAAACAAACAAGCTGTAGAAAATGTAGCGTTATCTGATGAAGATTCTATAAGTAATACATTAAAGGATAAATCGGACACAATTGCTAATAAAGAATTTAGCTCTGATTCTCTTAATAATGAAGAAATCAATCCAGAAAGAACGCCTACTTTAAGTACTTCCACTTCCCCAGTGACTGAAACATTATTTAAACCTGACACGACTGAGATTTCTAACGGTACTTCAGAAGAAAGCAAATCTTCCCAAATAGAATTGCAAACCGAACCTAAAATAAAAGACGTGGATGATGAGTTAATTCATGACAAAATTCCGCAAGAAGTAGACTTAAATGAAGATAAGGATCTCAAAAAGGTGGATGATACACCTTCCGAAGTCACCGCCAGTTCTATACAAGTAGAAGAATTTGAATCGAACAAAGAAGACAATTCAGCTGGAATTCAGGAGAATTCAGAGGATGCATTTACAAATTTACTGGCAAATATCATGTCTGAGACGAATGCAATGACATCCTCGGATAATATTTTTGAATCTATTGATTCCCCTTCGGAATTTCTAAACAAAGTAAAGTCTGCAGAGGTAAATTCAGAGATTGCAGCTGAACAATCTGGAGATTTAAATGCAACTAGTTCTGAACAACCGGACAATGTTAATAAGTCATCTGGAATAGATTCTACCTTCGAGGGTGCAATTTGCAAGGATAAAGCAGACTCCTTGGACAGACCTGTTGAAAATGATGAGCAATTGACTTCTTCTCGTGATAATGTAGATTCTAAAGAAAACACTTCAGGTATGAGTGATGAAAACAGCAAACTTTTAGAATCTACCATAAATGTTGCGAGCATTAAAGAAGATACAGCCTGTCCAGACAGATCCAGTAATATTAGTAAACTTCCAAGTTCTTCTTCTGCTATAACAGTATCTGAAAGAGAAACGAAATCTTTGGATGTACTTAAAGAGAGCAGTGAACTCATAAGTGTTGCTCTGAAAATTACAGACAGTGGAAAAGATGCAAACTCTTCCAGCGAACCCAACGTAAACAATAAGATTTTAACCTCCAATCATGACATACCTGTTTCTGAAGAAAATGTGGACTCTTCATGTAAGTCTAATACGAGTAACATGTTTTCAAGTCCAGCACTTAACGTCTCCACCTCCGAGGAAGGTGCTGAAACCTTGAGTGAGACCAGTGAAAATAACAGACTTTTAACTTCTTCGGTAAATATTGTAAATCCTGAAGAAAGCAGAAAATGTTCGAACAAGGCTGATACAAATAGTGAGCTTCAAAATTCTGCTGTTGAGATGGCAGTCTCCGAAGAACAAGTGGACTTTATGGTTAAACCTAGTGAGAGTAATCATAATTCTGAAAAAAATGCAGACTCTTCGAAAAGACCTAACAAAACAGAGTTCTTGAACTCTGATCTTAATCTAGCAATCTCCAACGAGGCTGTCGAATCCTTGAAACAGGCTGAAGCAAATGAAGAGTCTTTTCTTAACACAAATGAAACAACTCAAGCAGACGGTGCTAAAGCTTCCTTTCAGGATATAGAGAAAGAGCAAAATAGTGAAGACGTGCAATACGATAGAAATGAATTCTCAGATATCTTTGAAGACATAACGGAGAAAGAACTCTGTGCCGAAGAATTAGAAGCTACTGAAATCGAAGAAGAAACGCAGGAGGATATGAATTTAACACTCGATCCGGAAGATTCGGAACTACAATCGGAAGCATTTGATCTTGGTAACGAAAATACAACGCCTAAGGTAAAAGATGCGGAAGAAGAAACAGAGGATCAGGTGGAAATCAATTTATCGTTAGACCCTGAAGATAAAGTTGATGATATTCTAGTGGATGTACAAGGTGTGGCTAAAGCTTCCAGCCCAAAATGCCAAGATGACATCGATATGGCATTACTCGAAAAGAAAGGTAAGATACTTGAGAAACAGTCAGAAGCTGATGAAGAAGTCGAAGACAATTTGAAGAATATTTTGGAAATAGCGGAGGGAGTGGCAGGCATGTTTTCTGATGATCAATCTCAAGGTACCCAAGATATTGTAACAAGTATTTTAAATTCTGTGGACGATGTTGCAGGTTTGTTGACTGAGAATCAACCTTCCGAGAAGATAACTGGTTTAGAAAATATTTTAGACACAGTTGCCGAGGAAGAGGTAGAAAAGGCTTTTGCAGATCCAACTGGATCTCCATTAGTGGAAGCGACGATTGAAAGTTTAACACACAAGTTACCAGTTGAATCCGAAGAGTCGATATGTAAAGAACTAGAAGATCCGATGACAGCACAGAATATGGATTCTTTGGAAGGACTTTTAGGACTTGATTTAATGGCTGAAGGTGAAGGATCTGTGCTGAAGGAAGTAGAACGTGAAGTGGAGAAAATAGTGGAAGAGACGCAAAAGGACATACAACCTATAGAGAAAGCGTCCGTCTTATTGGGGGAGACAAATCGCGGTTCCAACATTTTGAAAGACGAGGATTACATAACGGATGTTATCAGTGGTTGTTTAAGCAGTACAAACAGTGCAGAACTTGATGATAATACCGCAAAGACAGAAGTTACGAAAATTTTGAACGATGAATCGGAGGACGCTAAAGCTGCTAGGTTACTGGAGGTAGGTGAAGAGTTGGCTAACGAAGCAAAAATTAAAGATGAAGCATCATTTGTCGTAGGAGAGACTCTAGGTACGGACGAGCCCAATTTGACAGATGATTTAGAGACGATGGCTTTTGAATTGGCTTCAGGTAATGAAACTAGTCCTCTCGATACCAGTGCTGTTCTAGGGGATGAATCCAAAATCGAAATACCCCAAGACCTTTTACTGGAGGATGCCGATCAGAACGAAGCTCTGAATGACATACCGTTAGGTATTGAGAGTTCTCATCCCAATTCTGAAATTTCTGAAATAGAATCTGCGGTTAAGTTTCTACAAGAGTCTGAAGAACAAGCAATAGATTCTCCACTGTTACTGTCACCAAAAATGGTGAATAGTGTAGTGGATATGTCAGCAGCTGATGACAGTCTTTTTGTACCGGAGGAAGACATCTGTGACGACGCTGCAGAATTGGCTGCAGAACTTTCTGAGTCTTCTGCAGATCCAATAGCCATATCCGAAGCTGAGATCATATCGGAAGCTGCAAAATTAGAAAGCGAGCGAAAAGCAAAATTGACCGCAGAGTTGAAAGTAAGTCAAAGTTTATCGAAGGCTGCGGATGATCTACAAAGAGCAGAAGAAGAGCCGAGTTTTATGACTTCTTCTAATGACGCTTTGATTACTAAGAAAAGTGAAAAGGACAGTAGAGGAAAGAGTGTTACTAGTAGTGAAGTGTTGTCACATTTGACGGGTGTCTCAAAGAGTATCAGAAAGACTTCCGAACCAATTCCTAAAGTGTCGATACTGGAGGAGAGGTTAAAGGAACCCCCGAAAATAGAAATCCCAGTGCCAGAGGCATTGAAACTCTCCGATACATTGACCACTACGAAAACGAGTTTGCTTATAGAAAAGGATGCCAAAATGGCGGCATTTCAGAAAATGTTGGAGTCCCCCAAGTCGTCTGAAAGGGCTGAATTGAAACTCGTTGATACACCGAGAAAGGATTCTGAAAAGCACGATTTTGAAAATGTAGGATCTCCTAGGATAATTCTAAAAATAGCAAAGTCTGCAATCGCCGACTGTGGAGAGCCAAGGTCTCCGAGAAGTCCCAAAATACGTTCAGCAGCAAACTCTCCAAATCCGGAGGATAGTCCTGGTCAGAAATTAGGGAAAATCAAATTGAAACTGTCCAAAGGAGGACATCCTTCCATCATCTCAAACGAAAATGTGGAAGATACTGGTCAGTGGCATGCCGAGGATACGTCGTCTGCGTCTCCTATAGGTATGAAAATCAAACTATCAAAGTCAGGCGATGCTTCGATAATCCAATCTGACAAACACGAGTCTTCCGAGGAAGTTAAAAGGATAGAATGTCCTATCGGGATGAAAATAAAATTGTCGAAAACCGGTGACGCTTCCATTGTTCAGCAAGACCTGAAAGAGGTTATGTACAAGCATAAAGATAAACACGACAGTTTGCAAGAGACTCAGAGGCGAATGGACTCCCCGATCGGCATGAAGATTAAATTGTCTAAAACTGGAGATGCCTCTATTATTCAGCCAGAAAAGCACGATTTGGGAGAGGAACACAAAGAAGGAATGTCAAAAAGTAAGGACAAGCTAGACATTATTCAAGATATTCCAAAACGAATCGACTCTCCTCTTGGTATGAAAATAAAATTATCAAAAACCGGCGATGCTTCTATTATACCGTCTGATTTGTCCGAAGAAGGGAAAGAAGCAGTGTCCAAAGCTAAGGATAAATTGGAAAGTGCTCAAGAAGCCCCGAAACGAACCGACTCGCCCATTGGAATGAAAATTAAACTCTCAAAGACACGTGGAGGCGCATCGATAATCCAAACAGATGATTCCGAAGACCACAAAGATAGGTTAGAGGTTCCAGAGGCTCCCAAGCGAACTGAGTCACCATTAGGTATGAAGATCAAACTGTCAAAAACTGGAGACGCATCGATAGTTCACAGAGACATTCCCGAAGATTTTAAGGAAGCTGGTCAGAAAAGTAAGGATAAAGATGAAAGTCTGAAGAATAAGGACAAATCAGAGGCCTCGCAACAATCAGAGACCATCAAAGGTGTTAAAATTAAAGTAACGAAAGGTAGAGAAGCATCCATAGTAATGGTAGAATCTTCAGAGATTTCAGAGACCAACCAAACTTCAAAGTCTGACACTGCAAAAGATGCATTGAAGAAATCTGAGTCTCCAATTGGAATGAAGATCAAATTATCCAAAAGTGGGGATGCCTCTATTGTTCACTCTGACAAGGAGACCGATGAGTCAAAGATTAAAGAAAAACTGGAATTACCGCAGGAAACGATCAGGAAAACGGAATCTCCATTGGGGATGAAAATCAAATTTTCAAAGACCGGGGATGCATCTATAGTTCAAAGTGAACCTTCGGAAGAATCAGCACAGCCTGCGCAGACCTCAGAAATGGAGTCATCCAAAGGTATGGAATCCTGTTTGGGGGTAAAGATAAAGCTATCAAAGTCTGGAGATGCCTCAATTGTAGAACCAGAGAAGTCTGAGAAAAAGGAGAAAGCCGCTAGGCAAAGGAAGGACACCGATCCTTCGTTGGAAATGAAAATAAAGCTCTCGAAGACAGGTCACCCCACAATCATCCCAGGTGATGCATCGGCAGAAGGTAGTTCTTCGCAAAAAGGCAAAGATTCTTCAGAAAATACACACGGTTCTGCACAGAAGCACAAAGATGTCGAACCCGGCAAGGAGCCCGCGTTGAAGATCATGAAAACAGGACATCCAACGCTCGTTCAAAGCAGCAGAGCCGAATTAACGATCGAGCCTATTCACCTTCAAAGCAGAAAACACGAAAGTGGTGGAGCTAACATTTCACCGAAACGCAAGGAAGTTACTATTTCTCCAGTGGAATCAAAGAAGTCTAAGCTCGAGGCAAAGCTCTCTCAGATCCTGCCTGAAGTGACCATCCAGCCTGTTATGATGAGGGATTCCAAGCAGATGATATTCGATCCAAAAACCAGTGTGATAAGTAGGCAGCAAATGAGCGTAATTAGTCAGGAAATTAGTATAACTCAAGTGAGGCCGTCCAAATCGAAGGATCAATCGATGAGTGATAAGCTTAAAGACATTCTAGGAAAGAACAGAGCCATGTCTCCAGTGGGCTCTGACTGCGAGATCATCGAGCACAGGCCAGAATTAATTATTGTTAACGAAAATTCTAATTCGAGCCAAGACGTTATGATAATAGAGGAGGTCCAACCCATCCGAATGCCGGAAATCAAAATTCCCAGGAAGAGAGGAAGGCCTCGGAGGAATCCTCTTCCTCCTCAGATGATGCAGCCGATACAAGAAATGATTATTCCCAGAGATCCTTTGGCTCTGGATGACCTTCCACAGGTAGTTCATGCTGTCGAACACAGGGAGAACGAGAGGCCTAGAAGAACCTGCAGGATTCAAAAGAGCTATGCTCCACCTAAGAGAGGTCGAGGAAGAGGTTTGTACAACTTTGATGTTACCTTATTTTATTTTATGTTAAATAAACTGTTATAACCATTTTGTTTTACCAGATAAATGATACCGTTTTGGAATTGTGTAGTTCGAACACGTATGTTACCTGTGTTAATAATTTTCGAAACGTTTGTCGTGATAATATGTGATTTTATTATTAGTTTGATTACTTTGTAGGCTTTTGCTTTGACGTCTAAAAACAATTTAAAGCGGACTGTATTCTGCTGAACTCTTTTAGGGTAATTCGACATGCTGGACATTTATTTCTTCAATTTTATACCTTAATATGTTTTTTTCAGTTTCTGATATAATACCACGTAACAACAGTTTGCTCTTATTACTCCTCTAGGACGAGGTAAACGAAAGATGGACAAGGTAGAAATGCCCGATGAGAAGAAGGCCAGAATCGAGCAGGACTTGACAGCAATCGAGAACTCCACCATGGCTTTGATCACTCTTGAGGAGTCTTCGACGCAGGTAGAGAAAATAAAAAAGTCATCTAAATCGATGCTGATCGAAAAAGCAAAAAAATCAGCCAAATCGATACAGGCCGAGAAAGTAAGAAAATTGTCTGAAATGATACAGGTCGAAAAGGGGAAGAAATCGTCCGAGTTGTACAAGGCGCTCAAACAGCCAGCTATGGACCGTAATAGCACAAGTGTGTCGAGCAGAGGTGAAAAGCAAGTGGCCCGTAAGGAACTGGGAAAAAACCTGGATCCACATAAGGCTACTATTTTAGATCCTAGAAGTAGTGCCCAACTGGACACGAGCAATTTAAAAGGACCCATTGCTAGCCAGCAACTTGCCGAACTTATATCCATTAATGACAAATCTGTAATTGGAGTGAACCGTGAAGGCAAAGAGGAGGATGAGAAAGCAGAGATTGTAATTATCGAGGAAAAGTCTGGGAGCAAATTAGAAGAGAAAAAGACAACAGATGGGAAGGAAGCAGTCATCGTTCCAGTACATCAGAACTGGTTGACACCTTTGTCGAAGAAACACTCCACCGATATGGATAAACAGAAGGAGCCCACCAGAAACGAATCTATATCCACTGTCCAAGTCATCGATGAAGAGACCAGGATGAGTGCAGAATCTGGATCGAGGTCTCAAACTCCTGCCAGAAATCTATCCGCTCTAGGTACATTACTATCATTTTTATTTACTTACTAATTTTATTTTCATAGTACATGTGTGTTCATATTTAAACACGTACAGTAACAGTACGAAAGGAAAGCAATTATATATATATATATAATAACTGATCTTTAAATGAACCTATATTTTCAAGTTTATAAAATGATATAATTAACCGCATTATTATGACACTCAAAAGTGTAACCAGTTCCTACTTGCAATGTAGGATATTTAGATATTTTTATTTTATTCATACAAATTGGACTAAAGTAAAGCTAATGCAACGTAATATCTCACGTACGCCATTCAGGGGCTCTTTGTTTGAATTGTAAGTGCTTAATTTATTTTTAAATGCATGTATAAATAAGAATATAGAGCTCCGGTCGTTAAAGTTGGGAAGAACGGTATTATATCAGTAAACCAGATAGACTAAAGTAAAGCATAAACGTATTGGTGGACCTCCAAGTGAGGCAGCTAAAAATAGATCTTTTTCTGATGTTCTAAGATCTCCAAGTTCCCAAATGTGAAATGACATGGCGCGTTTAAGTAAAGGGAACGCCGATTTTGTTGATTTCGAGGATGTAGTGCGACATGTTCGATGTTTAGGGAGTGTGTGGTGTTAAGAAATATGCGGTTCCTTTGTGATTGCACGTTCCTCGATGCTATTTCGGATATAACATCGTTGCAGCGTTACACATTAAAAGTCTTAATTTATCGTGCTTTTACGGTTGCTCGTCGCAGCGTATTTAAATTCACTGGCTTCGATCTACGAAAGGACGTGTTACGTTCAGTAATCCTATTACCGCTCCTTCCTCCTTGTATAGACATACCGGGTGTCCCAAACGAAACTTGTAACTCCACAAATATGTGCATTCACCGCACCTTACATTACGTACGTGCACTTTTGAAACCTGAAGTACACATTTTTTTTAATAATATAGTATTGACTTGAACTCGATGACTAATCTTAATTTTCATGTTTTCAGCATCGGAGACGATAATTAATGAAGAATCTCAAGGCAGCGTACTCAGCACTGCGACAACCGAATCAGAGAAAGTCAAAATAAAGAACCGAAGAATGGAAATTAATTTTGATCCTGACGAAGGACCTTTTACTGTCGACAAGATAGCGGAGTATGAGTGGCCTCTTGATCGAAAGGGGGAAACTTTCATGATACAGGAGCAGATATCGCAGTATTTAGGAGTGAAGTCCTTCAAAAGAAAGTATCCGGATTTAAAACGCAGGATAGTTGACATGGAAGAGCGAAGCTATCTGAGAGAAAATGGTCTTGTTAGCGAAGCTATGTGTGACATGGGTGAGTTGAAAAGAAAATGTTGCTGTAACGTGTTTTTTTTTTCTTATAAATATTGTAATTTAATAGTGAATTTTGGTTTTGTTTTTAATTTATTGTTGTGTTTTAGGCTTAACCGCTGTATGCAGCTCCGAAGTATTGGACATAATGTGCAGCGATTTCCCCGATCAGTACGAAGAATATCGTAAGCATATGCGAGAAAAACAGGCCAAAGAACATTCCAAGAAGCAGAAAGAATTAACCGCGGCTGCTAATGCCGAAAGGAACAGGATAGATCTGGCAGAAATGGCTGTCCAGTCTGCGATGTCTTGGAACGTTAACTTTAACAAGGCTCGAAAGGAAAGTCGAAAATGCAGCTTGGACCTGCAGACTTTCACGATACACGTGCCAAAGAAACAGCAGAAGGTCGAGGAGGATCGAAAAGTCAGTCATTATCCAGTTGCCCTCATACCCGGACAGTATACGGATTATTATCGAGAATATACACCTGCGGAATTAAGATATTATCCTCTAAATACAGTTCTTTATGGTCCGATGAGGCCAAACGAACGAAAGTTCGACAGCCAGTCCGATGGCTCGCAAAGTGACAGTGACAGTGACTCGTCATCCGATGATTCAAGGTAGTGAAATCGTCTATGCTTAATTATTAATTAGTAATGTTAAATAATTAATATTTAACATATTCTGCAGTTCGTCTTCCAGCGAAGGTACTCAGGACACGGAGGAGTCACAATCAACGATGGATGAAGTGGACATAGAGATGGTAGCTCAGAAGGAGGAATTGAAAAATGTCAAATGTAAGATGTGCTTAAAAACGCTAAATAAGCATAGTAAAAGCGAAATATTAATTCAGTGTGGTACGTGCAATGGAAACGGTACGTAAAACCTGAGCGATGTCTTAACTATGCGCATAATTTTTATCGTATTAATCACGTGGACAATTTATTTTCCAGTTCATCCCTCATGTATCGACTTAACTTTAGATATGGTACCACACATACAAGCATATGCGTGGCAATGTACAGATTGTAAAACATGCGCTCAATGTCATGATCCCGCCGATGAGGATAAAATGCTCTTCTGCGACATGTGTGATCGAGGGTAGGTTTATTGTTTTGTTTGTCAATCTGAAATTTATAAGAACGATATTATGTAGATAATAGTTTGCCATCTATTCCTCGCTATGGTAACCAATTGCAAATTATTATAAAAAAATATGGTTATGAGCTATACGTCATGTCAGTGATTTCACTTCTTAACGTGCAGATACCATATCTATTGCGTGGGATTAAGGAGAGTACCTCAAGGCAGGTGGCATTGTCAAGAATGCGCGGTGTGTGCAAATTGTGGCTCGAGGGAAGCTGGCGGTGCAACTTCCGATAGGAATAGCGTTGCTCAATGGCAACACGAATACAAAAAGGGAGAGAAGAACACCAAGATCTACGTTTCCACACTTTGTGTTCCTTGCTCGAAGTAAGTCGACTACCAAATATGTTATCGATCGTGTATGTATGAAGGGCAAATGCCCAATGAGGAGAATCGCTGCATTGCGTACTGTTTTCAATGACGAATGTCTGTACAGAGCTTTACCTTCGCTTGATGGAACTCGTGGCAATCTTAGGGACTCAAAATATACAACTTCAAAATGAAGTGGTAATCTACCTGGTTTAGAACTTTACCAAGGCATTGCATCTGATACTAACCTAATTCGAACGTTGAGCATCGACGATCGATACGTATTTCTTTAAAAGCAATATTTAGCAATTACTGCGATACATTTCTCTAGCTGTACCATATTGATTCACTAAGAAATAACACATTTCGGGTATTAAAGCTCTCTTTCCCTCTTCTAGTGTTTCATTCATCGACAAAGATAGGCAATGGTAGATTTTTTGTGATTCAGTACATAACCTCAATTAAAGTTCGTTGCATTATTTATTCCGGTAATGTTCGGTACACGACCTTTCATCATTATAATTTCTAACAAGGAATTATATTGCTTATTTACTGGTCGAATGTGACTGCGAACAACGCAATAAGTAGTATAGTAACTTCATGTCGGTGATGTGACAGGGTTAGAAAAAAATTCATTGTTGCCTATCCTTGCTCGATGGCCCTAAAAGTAGTGAATCGATGTGGGATCTCGTTTCACTAACCCCATAATCGTTTATACGTTGATAAGGCTGTGGCGAAAGGGTCGATATTGCCCGTACTGCAGTCGCTGTTACAGTGCTACGAGGCTCGACCTGGAACCGAATCTAGTGCATTGCAGCGCATGTGACAAATATCTGCACTTAGGTATTTTTTCAGTATTCATTAAGCTCCGTCCTCTAGTTCGATTGCACTGTCTAAATAGTTTTGATGCATGTCATGTCGGGCTATGGTGTAACTCGTGGAAACTTTAGAATAGCATTGAATTCGACAAGCATTCAATATTGGGATAACAATGCTCCGTAATTTGGAAACATTTCAATGAATCCGTAGAAAGGTAAAAAAATTTATTGCGATATCCAACAGTCAGGAGGGCGCTAGGAAATCTTGAAACATCTTCATGATTTTTGTTAACAAATTTGAAAAATACATTGGTTAAGGGAAAAATCATGCCTTGCACGCAGGTAAAGGAATTTCATGATCTCCAGTGAGAGCGGTGACGGAAAATCAGCATATCGATACCCTGTTATCAATAGTTCTTTATTGACCTTGGAGAGGAGCTATTTGCATCGTTAGTTGTAAAATAGTCGATAAGCATAAACAATTAGCTGTTGTTTTTCAACCGTGTAATTTTGTACTCTCGACGTTTCATTTAAACGTGGATGTCATGTTTGAATGTACTTAATTGTGTTCACGATAGAGTATTAGCGTGCAGAAGAGAGCAAAGATTAGAGAAAGCATTTCATTGCTATACATGGTTGTGCAGTTTCAATTTCTTTGATCGAGGAATGTTTCGGTTTTTCACAGTTTAACTTTTTTTTCTCTCTCATTGAACACTTTTTCTCTTATCGTTAGTACTCATTTAGTCGTGGCTACTTCTTGTATATCTGCTTCTATCGAGAGAAATGAATGGCCAGTTCCTTCAACCTCGGTCAAAAGGCTAATCATCGGTTACAATGAGTTACATATTCCACCACATTTTAACAGGTTAATTTCCATTAACCGCCATTTAGATTAACCAGCCAAATTCTATTGTTTAACTTCAGTTAATTGAACTTCACCTAAAAACTGCACACATGTAAGGAAAACATGGATTATATTGAATATGTATTAACATCTTCTTATGACGAAACGAAAGAAGACGTTTTTTATTTTATTTACAATTCCTTAAAGATCGAAGTACGCTTGAAAATATTTTATATTAATTCTTAACCAAAGAACTTTACTTCTTGAGGTTAGCACCTGTTAAATAAGTTCTTGCATAAAGCTAGTGGGACTTCGTGTCTCGAAAACGGTGCATCTATTTTGCTTTCCAGTCGATCGGAGTTTCAGCCAATCACGCGACGCGTTCACCGACAATTCAACATACTTCGAATGGTGTATGCAATTAGTTAATTACGCTCCAAATAAATGTGGTGGAACATTTACGTTTTTAACCCATGATTAATTTGAACGTTAACTTTAACCTACGGTTAGATAATCAATGATTTAACCGAGGTTGGTGGAGCCGGGAACTAGTAGGCTAATTTTTGATCATGCATTTGAAGGTTATGTAATGAAGTTGCGGTATCGTACATCTGTAAGTTCGTAACGATTTCCGAAGTACTTCATAATTGTCTCTATGTTGTCAGGGTGCGTGGAGACCAAGGGAACGGTAATCGACAAGAAAAACTATCTTTGTGATTTCTGCGCGCCGAGTCGACAGCAGCCTACTAAACCTTTAACCCCTAAAACGACGAAAACGTAATGAACCGACCGTTGATAACCAGGGGAACGTTTAAGTGTTACTTTTATATTTATAACGATTATGTAGATAACGTACAAATTTTTTTTTCCCCTTTTTTACAATGTAGATAACAGTTGACGCACTCGCAAAATTATTGTACGGAGCTCAAGAGCATCATTGAAAATGCGTCGAGTGTTATGCCATTTTGATTCGAATGCTGCCAGGCGGATCCGTAAATGACTGCCGTTCGTTAATGTTAAATGCTTTCTGTTAATAGCGCTCCACGACTTGTGAAAAAGAAATATTAGAGGTGATTTGTATAGTAATGGTCTTTCGATTAAAAAAAAAAAGCCTGACAATCGCCTTCGTCGGGACTGCTCAGGAGTAGCGGATGCATCTTAGCGATGTGATTTTTGTATAGTTTCGTCGTCCTTTTCGTTTTCTCAGGAGAGAAAGAGAGCGCGTAAAAAGTATCAAACACGTGTAATGAAAATTGCCATTTTAACGCATCATTGTTCACACCTTCGATGAACTCTTTCTGATCTCGTGCTCTACTAAACACGGATTGGAAAAGGGATTAGACCGAACACAAGTCCTCCATTTGGTAACCTACGATGGATAGGTCCTTTTATATTCTGTAAGGATATCGCACGCAATTGCAAATAGGAAAAAAAAGAAAGATAATAAAATATAGAAGCAAGAGGTGGTTTCTTAAAAATATATACCATTTTATTTATTTTCCGTTTGCGGTAATTCTTGTATCAGTGTTTGTTGCAAGTTTACGTGGATGCATTATATATTTTTTACATATTTATAATAATATAGTAATCACTTCGCACATATAGCAGTTTCTTCTTCCTTTAGTCCTTCGTCTTGAAACTTATCTTGCGTTCATCTTAACTTCCCCTTTTTTTTGCAATGGTTAATGCCTCGATAAACGGATCCTACTCGTTGAGCTGAGGCATACCTTTTAAGCATGCAACATTCTCATCGAACACTAATTACAGGAGTATTTTTTTACTATTCTTCATTATTTACACGATTAAAAAAAGAAGGAAAAACGAAACAATAGCGAAACCAGTATCGAGAAATTTAAAAGCATTAATTCTGGCTTCTCTTGTGCCAATTTGACTGTACGAAGTCGTGACGTACCCTCTCTAGAATTTCCTATTTCCACGCGACATATTTTACAAACAAATGAGCACTGTTAACGAAAGTTTGTGCGTGCGCTCCTGACTCGATGATCATCCTATGCCCTAAGTCATCGCAAAGCTGATACTTCCACACGAGGAACCTTTATTAACCGAGCACTGACTTATCGATCTCAGAGGCGAAAGGAACTCCTTTGTTTTCTTTGTCAACATATCCGTAAACAAGATTCATCCTGGATCACTTTAGGATACCTTCGCGGCAGAAACACGTTTCATTTGTCAAAAGTATCGGAGTTGCATATCTCTTGACCTGGCTACAACCAGGGTATGTTGAAAATCGACTTAACTCGTATCCCCTCTGTCGAAGGATAACAAAAGTGTAGATGAACTAGAAACTCGATTACTTCTGATATACACCGTGCAAAAGTCGGAAGAATTTGAGGTACGGCTTCGCCGTTGCCGTTGATGAATTTCTTACAATCACTCGTATACCCTGGTTGACGATGGCCGTGTACATTCAATCGCCGGGGGAAATCACGCCTTTTAAACACTCCGTGTGTGACACTTAATGAATAAAAAAGAATACCCTGAGCAAAATTAGAGAACGTACGTGACTTACGGATTGAGTTATCTAGAGCACTTACACTAACGGGACGGTCAGTTCGCAATTGCACTCGACCCGTTGACTAGCCGAAACGTAAGGTATCCGTAGTGCGAATTTAAGGTTATGTGAAAGTGACATCAAAGAGGTCTTGTTTATGAAACTTTTCTCCAAACTGGGTATACGGAGTCGATTCAAACATTACAATATAAATAAGTGTCGGGACCTTCCTTGTAGCCTTGTTTATGAAACTTTTCTCCAAACTGAGTGTACGGAGTCGATTCAAACATTACAATATAAATATGGAAAGTATAAGGAAGATCCTGAAGATCATGAAATTTCATGAGTGTCGGGACCTTTCTTGTAGCCTTGCTTATGAAACTTTTCTCCAAACTGGGTGTACGGAGTCGATTCAAACATTGCAATATAAATATGGAAAGTATAAGGAAGGTCCCGAAGATCATGAAATTTCATGAGTGTCGGGACCTTCCTTGTAGCCTCTATATTCACCCTGTAGAGTTTGCAACGATTTGATACACTCAGTTCGAAGAAAAGTTTTATGAACTATCGACTCCTCAGATGCCACTTTCACATCCCCTTAATGCCAGCGAAATGGTCAGACGGACAGCCGATGGACGTGCAAAGTAATTCGAGCCGGAAGAGTGTTGACGTGTAATTTACTCGTACGACAGGTGGACTAGATATTTAGTGGTATTTCAAGTTTGAACGGACGAGGCTCAATTGGTTAGGAAGTAAGTGACTCTTTTATCTCCATCGCCGTGTCGTGTAGAAGTGTTCGCGACACGAGGCATTTTGTACACAACCATTTCGATAGTTGGCTCCTCTGGACTATCAAGTGCACACGCCCTTATTCAATTTCCACGTGTAATTGACAACGTATAAAAATAATCTCGCGCCTTACTCGTGCCTGATACCGCACACCGACAGAAAGGTGTTGAAGTTGTGGAGATGCGTCGTCGGTATTATGGTGACTACGAGATTCCGCGTCGAAAAGTTACTTAGGACACTTTGGATGAAGCTCGGACCCGGCGAGCTGCCGACCTTGTAAAAGATTCGCAAACTGCAGGTCGGATTTACGCTTTGAGAACCTTTCGTTAATTTACAGAGCAAGTACTCGAACACCTCGGTCAGCTCGGCCTCCGTCAGCTCGGCGGAGCTCAGACTTGTCTCGGCTACTAAATTCCCAGTGGAGTTTGATGAACCTGCGGGATATGCAGAATTTTAGCCAGAGTCAGCGAAGGATCCCTTACCCAGGCGCGTTTCAACGTTATTTACCCGTGGACAAATAACAAACGATCGCTGAGACCGTATTCTCGTAATTCCATCTTCGCCTGATAGCGACTTTGTAGTTACCGACACATCTTCCAGTCTCTTCATCTGAAAACCAAGAGAAATTACGATTTAATCGTTCTAATCAAATTCAAGCCCAGTCCCAGCAACCTCGGTTAAATCACTGATTACCTAACTGTAGGTTAAAGTTAACGTCCAAGCTAATTATGGGTTAAAAACGTAAATGTTCCACCATATTTATTTGGAGCGTATAATGAACTAATTGTAAACACCATTGAGTAAGTACAAGGAAGTTGAATTGTAGATGCACGCGTTCGCGTGATTTCGAGACACGAAGTCCCACTAGTTTCATGCAAGAATTTATTTCACAGATGCTAGCCTCAAAAAGTAAAATTCCCTGGTTAACACGTTACGTGCCACGTGTACCACCGATAATACGTGTTAACATCGGCTGGTACACGGCGTGGCACGGAACGTGTTAAGAATTATTATAAAATATTTTCAAGTGTACTTCGATCATTAAGAAATTGTAAATAAAATCAAAAGCGTCTTCATCCGTTTCGTCGTAAGATGTTAATACATACTCAATATAATCCATGTTTTCTTTATATGTGTGCAGTTTTTAGGTTGAAATTCAATTGAATGAAGCGAAACGATCGAATTTGACTGGTTATTCTGAACGGCGGTTAACGGAAATTAACCCGCCGTTAAAATGTGGTGGAACGTGCAACTCATTGTAACCGAGGATTAACTTTTTGACCGAGGTTGGTGGAATCGGGCATTAAGGGGATGTGAAAGTGACATCTGAGGGGTGAATGAAACTTTTTTCCGAACTGATTGTACTAAATGGTTTCAAACTTCACATTGTGAACGATGTCTTGGATGCTATGGGGGCAATGTGAAGGAAGGTCTTGACGCTCATGAAAATTTCATTTTTTATAAAAAAAAATGTTAAGAACGCCTATAAACAAATTAAAAAAAAAATTGAATTTCATGTATGTCAAGACCTTCCTTAAAGCCTCCATGTTCACGTTATAAAGTTTGAAATGATTCGGTACGCCCAGTTCGGAGAAAAGTTTGATAAACGAAACCCCTTCGACGCCACTTTCACATTACCTTAATCGTTGAAACCAAATTCAGACTACTCGAATGTCTTCCCGTTTCGTCAGTGTCAATGTGAGCGCTCGCTGTTGTTTGCCGAGTGGCCGTCTGTTTTGTATAAATAGTAATACGTCTCGTCTCGTTACTATTATTGCCTTGTTACGTACATTCGAATCTATTGTTATCTCTGTGAGCCCAAACACACCACTCGACTTGGGCTCCTCGAGGCAGACTCGGTACAACGACATAATCCACGATGGCATTGTTCGTCCGCTTTTCCCACTCCTTCCGTGCTTCGGATATATAACTGGGATGTGTCAGAAAACAGATGCCCTGCACGATATCCCTTAGTTGCGTGTTCGAGTCCATGGCCTTGACGATTCGATTGATGTGCCTCAACGTTAGGCGGCACTGCCTTTTTATATTTAGGTCTAGGATCGTCATACTGCCAGGCACCAAAGGGATCTGTCCAGCCACCGAAATAATGTCACCCACCTAGAGAATTCCCGAACGACGCGTTAGCATGCGTAATGTCAACCGTGGGGGACAACTCGAGGAATTGTTCCTTCGTCTACTTCTTTACTTACTCGTACTGCCTGAGAATACGGGCCAATATTGGCAGGGGCCCAATGGCTTATGCTCTGAACATGCATCGTGTGTCTTTTATGGACCTCCTTGTCTCCAACGTTACTGATTTCCTTATAAGCCAAGGCATCGAGGACGACGTGGACGTTTAGCGGACACGCAATGCAAACACGAACCGGCGGATTCGTTTTACCGAGCTTTGAGACGTATGCCTCGTTTATCGATAAATAGTTTGACATATCGTTGATGTACAGCGTCACCGCGACGATGTCCGATATCTGGAGGTTTTCCTTCTTGACTAGATCTAAACGAACGAGGAACTGTTACCTTGGCTATGATCGACACCAGACTTTTGCAGCATAGGGAACGAGTTATTTAATTTCATGTTCAATAAGAACATTTCAGAAAAGCGTAAATTTTACCTACTGCTTAATTTGTCTAGAGCTTCTTCCATGGCAAGCTTCGCTACAGGATGTTTCCCTACGATACCTCCGAACCAGGCCCAACCGTTCTGATTCTTGTTGGACGTTGCCATGTCTGGATAATCCTCTTCTTCGTAGACAATTTCCATAGGACTAGGTGGGTTGAACTGACCTGTAAAGACGTTGACGTGAAAAGGTCCTTTTCTTTTTTTTAACTAGGTTGTAGTCACTTGAAATTTGTACAGCTGTTAATTTGTTATTTATAAAAAAATATTAACCAGAATTTGACGTTCTTAAACTTTTACTATCACTTTCATGCTCGTCGTTTTCCTCGTCCGACAAATTGCAGCCATCCTGCAGTTCTGGTCCTACGATCTCAGCCATGTAGTCATATGGTGCTTTTACCGAAACCGACCTCAGTCTCTCTTGTAACGTTAACTTCTCTATTCCACCCTGTAATGTTTTTGGTTTCTTTTTATGTCCTGATTTTCCTGCGAAGCTCTTATTTTATTTACGAACTTAACGAGTACTCACGTCTTTATCTTGTAAATGTATCTTTTTAAAATTCAAATATCCAACAGGCGTAATTTCATCATTAGAGTGCACAACACTTTCATACTCGTCTCTATAAAATATAACGATTGAATTTCATGTACACATACATACAGTTAATATGCAACATATGATATTTACAAATTGTGATGCTATTTAAACTTACATTACAATGCTTTTTATGAACAATGGACAATCGAGAGTAAAAGTTTCATATTCTCCACCTTCGCCACAGACATTGACACCATATTTTTCTTTCTGTAAAGAGAACGTATATCTTACAATTATTTTCTTAGTTATCATAAAAAATATGTGTGAACTTTGAGTGAAATTTACAATATGTAAATGCTTAATACGTGTACATTGTACACTTAATTGTTCTACATGTTTCTTGTAACATCGTTTGGTTCAAAATGCTCATCTCAAAATAACTGCCTGAAATTTTGTTTCCACCCCAAGTGCTGTCTTAAGAATTGGAACAGGTCCAATTTAGGTTTACGCTTACAGCAAAGCATTGAAAGCAACCGATATTCTTATGTCAAATTAATCACCACGACATTTACTTACCATTTTGGCGAGGTGAGATTGCATTTCAGAGATAGATTTGCCCAAATGTCTCGGCTCCAGACCCAATGATGCTACTTTGATCAGTACTGCATTTACGGAACATTCGATCATTTCCTTCAATAATTCTTCTTGATCTCGCCGCCATAAGTAAGCTAGAGAGGTAAGATTTAATCGGTTGCACCTGAAACAGATCCTTTTCTTTTAGTTCCATATTTAACATATTAAGTTATTCGTCAAACATCGCACGTGTGTGAACGTAATTTCAAGCATATTTCATTATCATACATGTATAAGTTTTAAAATAAATTAATTACACATTTTCCACGCGGATTCTTTGATAATCACTGAGAACTGCGCCAGAGGAGACGGCATCCACGTTTTCCTTTTCCTGGAAATAAAAGCTACAATAAAGAAACAGCTGGAAATAATACTGGGAAAAACATCTAACAGGCTTTGTACTGTGATTATAACGCAGTTTCTATTATTCATTTTTCTTCAACTGCAATGAGTACACTTCACTACCTTCACTTTGGCCAAGAGCCTGTAGAGATCTTCAACTTCGTCATTTTCAGTTGGTAAATAATGTTTCTCCCTCAGCAACGATTTACCAAATGTTGGTTCTCTATACAGCGGCAAACCCATCGCCTCACCTAAATACTCCACCCCTTGATGGCCAACAGTTTGGAACATGTATGAGTCCAGCTCATCTAAAAATTAATGAATCTTTAATTCAAAATAATCATGAAATTCACATTATTCCTTTTTCCACTATAAACTTTGATTTCAAATTCTAAAAAAAAAAGGATAATGCATAGTACATTTCTATTTTAATGTAAATACCTTCTAACTTTTTTGAAATTATAAAAAGGTTCCTGATTACTTGAAGAACTGTTTAATGTCTTAATACTTTTGCTCAATGTTTCATAGGCGCATAAATCACTTACAAATTTGACATAAATATTCCATCCAGACAATTATAAAATTTACAGTAAAAGTTATAAGGTTTTAACATTAACGAGATGATTTTAAGTCTAGCAAAGTTATTTGAAAAAGATTCCGATATAAAAATCGATTCTTTACCCTTTCCAACAGGGTACAAATTAGCCAAAGCTACTATCTTGTGGCCAGCTGCTATACACTGCATCATATTGAAGCAAGAATCCTTGCCACCACTGACTAATGCCACAACCCTCATTTTAGGGTATAGGTTTTATTGAGTTTCAGATAAGTAATCTGTGAGAAGTCTATGATGTAGTAGATGCAGGTCACTGTTACTGCATTCATGCGATCATCTATTATGATAGAAAGGAACGTCATTAGTTCATTAGTGCTTACAAAGAAAAACAGAGCTGTGCCAAATATATACTTCTCTTCTTTGTATAACCAATATTGATTATGCCACTTGTAGTAAAAACAAAGATTTAACACTATTTATCTCCACAATAGTATAATATAAAATTCACACGAAATAATACAAGAAACGACTTGGCAGCCATATCAGAGTTACGTATTCCTCATACTTTGCAGCGATCCTTAGTTCTTATTTACATGTTTCATTTGTTTTTTTAATGATAAGGACTTGCTATTGCATCAATGAAACTTTCCATGTAGTTACGTCACTAGGCTGAAGACTTTTATAGCAACTGTGATAAACATTTTATATCAATTGATTAAGAAGTATGGTATAAAAAAACCGACTATAGGATGATTTATTAATAGAACTTAGATTAATCTTAATTTAACTCCTCTATGATATTTGTTACAAATAATTGCGAACCTGTAGCACCAAAAACATTTATATCCCAATTAATGCGAATCGATAAGTGCAACACTGGATTATGACAAATAATAATTTAATGTGTATCAATATGTTCCAAAACTTCCATGACTACAAGTACAATTTAGATATTGCAAATAAGTCATTCATAAAAGAGAAAAAGCAAAATGAATCAAAGGTAAAATTATGTGATACTGAGTGGAAGTCATATATATTTTTATGTGAGTAGGATAGTGATCGAACAGTGCATCAATTGCAAAATTAACGACAAAAGCCAAAGTCGAAACGTCTGAACAAGACACAATGTACATAGTTTGGAAACGCATTGCAAGAAATTGATAGGAATGAAAAAAATACCTGCAGAAAAAATTTTGGTTCGGTTATTCTTGAAGAGGATAATAAGCGGATTCTACGAAATGTCGTTAAGAAATGGCAAAGTAATAGGTTAGAAATAGCCGTCCGGAATCCAATTCTACCGAAATAAGTACCAGAATGTCAATAAATGCAATATTTACGTTAAAATTGTCGAGGATACTCTCTACTACGGCAAAGTCCATCAACGACTGCGAATCTGCACTGTGGCGTCGCGTGGTGGTCAAACCGACAACTTCAGATAATTGAGGTTATTCTAAGTTTTTATAAAAACCATTTTAACAAATGCTTTTTCATAATTCCTCGCAATAGGAATCGCGTTTATAAAATAATCAGGTAATTCCTTTCCCCGTATAATATAATATTTAGTAATAAGAAATAAGAGGAACATATTTTGCTACAGATCCTCAGGTGAAACACACGCGACCGTAGTTCGTGACGTCACCACACACAGGGTGATGCTAAAATTGTTCTTACATGGCTACTTCAGGGAAAGCACATTTGCCCGAAAGTATTTAACTAAAATACAAAATGTAATTATCAAGTATAATACTGTATAAACGTACTATATCCAAAGTGGCAAAATTATTATTTAAGTCGAGAAACATACGAATTTATATTTGTAACAGAAAACGTAAACAAGTGGTTGCACCAATTAATTTTACCGATGGATGGACTTCTTAAATCATTCCTTTCCTCATTTTAATCGATAGAAATTGATTCAATATGGGATCAATTTTTGAATAAATTTATTTAACTCCGTATTCGAGTTTACCCCCACTTTGCTTGTTATGGTTAAGATTGCTTATTTTGCATTAATTAGTAAATTTTCACTAATTAATGCAAAAGAGAGGTAACTTACTAATTTAAGCCGTGTTCTGAAATTCAGGTGATAAATTCATCGTTATTTTATCTCTATCTCCCGCGATACGAGAGAAAGAGTCCCAACGATGCTAGCAACGGTAAGTAGTAAATTTTAAAACACTGACTAGATAGTGCAACAGGGTCATATTCCACCAATGAGTCAGAAAGAGATAGGTTGTGAACTAGACAGCGTGGGGTAGGGATCAACTAACATTACAATTCGTTATATATAGAACTATGAGCCAATCACAAGCGTCCAAAAGTAGCTATTAAATATGGCGGCAAGCCTATGAACATCCGAGTCTCGACATCCTAATGCCCTACTTATTTCTTGAATGAAATTCAATATAAAATGTAAAGTATAAACAAATAATATAAATCCATATCTATATAAAATTAACACCACTATTTTCACGTGGAAATATCGATTAACATAATTAAATATAATCTACATTGCGTTGTTTATGTTAAACCAAAGGGAAGAGTGAAAAATGATATCTAATTACTGCAGCGTATATATTTCGTTTCCTTATTAGATTTGGCTTGATTACATTTTTATGTAAATTAGGACTTGCTTCTTTTAATATAAATATACGTGGATGACGAAATTTCTTCCGAGAGAACGAAATTCCCGGATTCGTTTTCCGTACTATGGGCACTTCCGTGAAGTTTTAGGGATTAAGCAATTCGTGGAGAACTTTTATAGGGGTAAAATTACATGGCCCTTCCGCCGGTAAGGCAGTCGTAGGACGGGCGTCTCAACCCCTGGATGCATCCCTGAAACGCGAGGCGTACGAACTTGTGAAAGTGCTTCCATTTTTCCAAGATACATATAATAAAATATTATTAATTAGCATGCGGAATGTGTAAATAGGGCAATCGTTAGTCGAAAGGTACAAAGTTAATTTCGAAACCAACGGAAAGTGGTAATGGTGATTTTTCCTTCGTGAACTGGCGACCAATAGGAACGGTTGTCAGGCGCCGCCATCTTTGCTTTCGCTACGGTCGCACGAAGCGCAAGCCAGAGTCTACGGAACCATTTCGTATGCTCGTCAAGCTGCGGCTTGGACGGCGGGTTTCGAACGCGTAAAGTTCCAGCGATCGAGAAATTTAATTATCGTTCAACGTAGGAAGAGGCAAGAGAGTCGTATACGATGGTTCTGGCCGAGAGAAACGCGGAAAACGTGAGAAATGGTCGAAGATCGAGAGGCCCCAGCCCCAATGGCCAGACTGAATCGTCGAGCGAGGAAGACGGAGGTATGGACTTGGATTATGGGCTTCGCTGGGAATATAAATGCTCTTCTGTTTCCAATTTTATTGAATTTTTGTTCTCCGCTACTGGAACTAAACCTTCTTAGGCATTTTTATATTTTACGCGATGCCCGTATTGGCCAAAGGCGAAGATGCGTGAACTGATCTTCAAACCGCGCGCCCCACTTTTTTCCCAAAGAACGAAATCTCGGAAATATTTAATGTCTTTCGCGTGTTTAACGTTTAAAATTTAGAAAATGGGGGATATACATTTTTTTTAACCGTTTTCATAGCTCGCAAGATGGGATATCTTTATTTATACGGAAGCGTTATTTTCCGTGTAAATTAGTCATATGGTGTTCTGCATTGGAGACCATTTTAAAATATACGAAATTTGAGCACTGCACAGATTGTTTTTCATATGGATATAAAATGTAAACTCCTAAATGTAAATTAGATTATTTATTTCGGAGTATGGATTTCTAGCATTTTGTTGATACAAATATTATCAGGAATATATTTGTCTAATATCAAATCTTTGAATTTAAGTTCCAGCAGAGAAAATTCGTGTTGGAAGGGATTACCAAGTCATCGTCCCTGAATTTGTTCCAGTCAATGGTACGTATTTAATAAGTATAAAATAAGTAACACATATATATTGTTGTTTTCTGTGTATTTAATATCTTGTACATTAATATCATAGAGCGACGGCTGGATCAATGCCCCGATAGAGCTTTACTGGTTTGGTCTCCGACGACGGACATACCGGATCAGAAACGTAATTATTATTTGCTTCGTTAAAATGTTACTATTTTCTATAAGAATCATAATTCTAATCTCTTTCGTATCTTTCAGTTGATGAATACATTATATTAGCGAAAGAAAAATATGGCTACAATGGAGAACAAGCTCTTGGAATGTTATTTTGGCATAAGCATAATTTGGAGAGAGCTGTATTGGATTTGGCTAACTTCACACCCTTCCCCGATGAGTGGACCGTTGAAGATAAAGTCCTGTTTGAACAAGCATTTCAGTTTCACGGAAAAAGTTTTCATCGCATTCGCCAAATGGTAAGATTTAAGTTATTACTTAGTCATGTTTGATCTTAAATAGCATTCTCAATCATCTGCATTGTTATTAATAAATGAATAATACTACTTTTTTAAAACATAATAGGCAATAATGTCAAATTAAATGACGAAGATGTATGAGGTTCATATATTGGTCAGAAGTCCTTAAATATGATTGTTTTCCAGCTTCCAGATAAATCGATAGCAAGTTTAGTAAAGTATTACTATAGTTGGAAGAAGACGAGGACACGAACATCGTTAATGGACAGACAAGCCCGCAAATTGACTAGCGGGGGAAAAGAAGGAGAAAATGGCAGCGAAAATGGTAGTGAACTGGGATCTAATACAGATAGCGAGTCGGAGGAAAAAGTAAGATCTTCCCAACATTTTATTCTAACCTGTTTCTTAAGTTGCATTTTTTATTATTGTTCCTTATTATGTTCACCCATTGTGAAAATTTATTCATTTTACTACCACAGTAATTAACGTCATAGTTGTTTTTATGTTATAACATCAAGTTTGTGTAGTAAACGGGTGGTGAATCTACATATAAATGATAATGCCAACTGATATTGTTATTAAATCATGTTTAAAAATGCATGCATAGTAGTTTACGCCAACTTTGATATCACCATCACTTACCTTCCTGTTTACCTGTGAGTTCTGACGAAAGGATCTGTTCTCGGTCAATTCATTTACATCTACATTTAGATTGTATATACATTAAAACATTGCAATGCTGCTATCCGACTACTGTACTGTTTAATTAATCTCAACATTCTTGAAGGATATTTTCTCCGTGACTTTAACAAGTTATGCTCGATGTAACATGAACCGCTTCAAGAAATCTAGCAAAAGTATTACTTAAAATAATCCATAACGTTTCTTCAAATTCGCCCAAATTTTCAAGAAACTGGATTCTCTCAAAGAACTCACTGTATTCATGTGTAGTCCGTGTTAGCATAGGAAGGAGAATGGTGAGAAAATAATTGGAGCTCTCAAAGGGAATTACCGCAATCGTCTATCTTTTTTTTTGTTTATTTTGTACCACTTAACATTAAGGGCTACCTAAAAATGTATCCACACGTCAATGCATTGAGCCATATTGAAAGAGTTTGTAGAAACAGAAAGTGTTGGTAATCTTAACGGAAAAAGACTGGAGTAAACGTGGGAAATCCGTAGAATTGTAAATAATACACACCCTGTTTGTACATAGATAGTGTCGTAGTGAACATCGAAAGGTGTCTAATTAATTTCTCAAAATCACTTTTAACCGTTCGAAGGAAATATGCATACCGATTCATGTACCAAGCGATAAGCACTTAAAGTTCATTAACGAAAAGATATATCGATTGGCAGTCGTTTTCTTTCACATAGGGAGTAAGTTGCGATGTCAGGTTTGTGCCGTGTATGAACGTAAATGTGGAACGTTCCAGAAATGGACGATCCACCGCGGAATACGTCGTGGAAAGAACCAAGCTGTGCCAGGAAGCCAAGGCACTGACGCCAAGGCCTCGTCCGACTCGGAAAACATCCCTCAGGTTCAGGTACTCAACCTAAACCTTACCCCACCTGCTTAATATAGCCTGCTTACCACATTCCGCTATGTTTTCTCGCACTACGTCAGTCTAGCGAATTTGTCTCATTTTATTGCCGACACCACATACTCTTACGATCACGAGGAAATTAACTACACTTTCATTTGGCTAACTACGGACATAGAAATGGACTCGTAACGTAGACCAGACGCGTAACGGTGGAATATCATCATCGGACATTTATCATTTAAGGTGATACGAAAGGAACATTATATATATAAAACGTTAAAATATTTATAAAACTTATCTCCAAATTGGATGCACCAAATCATTAAAAACTTTAGCACGTGATTATGGAGGCTCTAAGGAAGAACGCGATGCTCGTGAAATTTCATTATTCACAAAAAAAAAAATGTAATCTTGGTTCTAGTCTAGGATAAATACATAAAAAATCTTTTTTTTTTAAGAATGAAATTTCACGAGCATCACATTTTTCTTTAAGGCCTTCATGAACACGTGCGGAAATTTCAAATGATTCGGTGCACCCAGTTTGGAGAAAAGTTTTATGAATCTTTTCACATTTTGATACATAGAATGACCCTTTCATATCACCTTAACTTCTGTACAATTTACTGGAACTCCAGGCTCGGCGAAGTAGCTGTCGATACATAATGTGTTTTAATCGAGACCTCCATTTTCTTAAACGTTTAGAGGTTTGGACGTTGTAAGTTATATAATTCGTGTAGTACGGGGCGTCTCTGTGCGATCACAAGTGTCGGTAACGTGTCCTCAAATGCCACTTCTCTAAAAGGTCCTCCATACGGTGCACTTAATTTTTCATGTGTGGCTTTAGTTGCGATCGCGAGGAGTTTGTCTCTTACGCTGGGGCGGGGGTCAGTTTATCGAAAAATTATTTTAAAAAGGGAATTATGTGTTGTAGGGGTCGTGTAGCAACTGTGGCGTTGCTTGTCATAGTGTTCGTGCGACGCCCAAGGGACACGCGTGTCATAGCTGCTATCTGCACTGGAGGTCAGTTAACTCTTGTCATGTAAACGTAAACACGTAAAATCCTCTAAATCTAGTTGGACTTCTTCAATCTGAACGAACGTTTCCGATTGCCGGTAGGATGTTCATACAGGCGCGTCTTAAGCTTTGTTATTTTTCCATAGGTAGCTACCGAATATTATCCCTTCCTATCCTTGGAATCCAATGTCACGGCGAAAAGCAATCGAGTAACGGTTCAACTTGTATGAGCATTCTTGTACTTGGTTCAAGGAACTTATGTCTTAAGGTGATGTGAAAGTGGCGTCTAAGAGGTCTCGTTTATGAAACTTTTTCTCCTGAGTACACCGAATCGTTTAAAGCCTTTACAATATAGGTATGGAGAGTATAAGGGAGGTCCTGAAACTCAAGAGATTTCAATTTTTTAAAATTTGTTCATAGATATTCTTAGAATTTGTTATAAAAAATTTAATTTCGTGAGTGTCTGGACCATCCTTATAGCCTCCATATTCACGCTGCAAAGCTTGAAACGATTCGGCCCTTCCAGTACGGAGAAAAGAGTTTCATGAACGACTGACTCTTCGGATGCCACTTTCACATCCCCTTAATGTTAGAAACATAGAAAACATCAACCGTAGCGTTATTTCTTAATCGTTTAGGCGCACTGGTGTCGCGAGGCCACTAAGTTCCATGCCGGGTCGCTCAAACAAAAGAAAACCTCCACGTGGATTGGTTGTAAATCACGATGATTTGGCAGCTTTGGCTGGTCAGCCTAATCAAGCCAGCAACAGCTTGCAAGCTATCGACACAGAAATTGTTAGCCTGAAACGACAAGTATGTTATGAAAGAACCATACCTCTTAACGATGTAAATCGTGTGGATACATTTTTTATGAACTTTGTATCTTTCCTGCTCGGAGCATATGAATGCTCCGAAAAGAACTTGGTGTAGCTACTACGTTATCATTATATTATCGATACCAGATTTTATTCGTATATCGAATGGCTCCGTTGAGAATTAAAAAAGGTGATCCTGTAATTATCGTGTTTCTTTGATCTTAGATCCAGTCGAACAAACAACAAGTCAGCGCACTGAAACGCAAGACGACCGATGGGATCGATGATCTACGTCCACCTGAAGTATCCAGTCGTATAAACGCGCGGTGGACGAATGACGAGTTACTACTTGCTGTCCAGGGTGTTCGGAAGTATGGAAAAGACTTTTCAGCCATAGCCGATGTCATTGGAACCAAGACCGAGGCCCACCTTCGATCTTTCTTCGTGAACTACCGTCGGCGGTACAACTTGGACGCTGTACTCAAAGAGTACGAGGCTGAGAATGGACCGATCTTAATCGATGATGAAAAAGAAGAAAAGGTACATAGAGTACATTCATATGTGTAATGTTAGCCTATTGGCGTGGAACCTTTTCGTAAAATAATATGTTCCTTTTTGTTTTGTTTAGATGGAGGTTGATCAAACATCGAATAACGAAGCTGCAGAAACGTCTCAAAAATCAAAAGCGTCTAGTGGTCTCAGTCAATCAACCAAATAACAATTAAATAGCGGTTTTGGTACCACTAAACGTGAAAAGTAGCGAGAACAATTACTACATATGGCACCCATAGTGAGGTTCATATCCTAAGGATTGCGAAGAGTTTAAACGAGTCGTTAAATTATTGATCTAGTATTCTTCGATGATGGAAGCATGGGAGAAAAGAGTACACAGCCGATTTTGAGAGGTGGTGTTTGTTTTTCTAAAATCACTGACTATAAACGAGAATCGAGTATTTTGCTGAAACTCAGGGATTATTGGAGTGTATGGGTTTTATTGAGACGGTACACTTTCGCCGTATATACGAATTTAATTGGACAGAATAATTGCTTGGATCGAGACACGACAGGTCATTGATGAGCAAGCAACGATGATGTTCCATTAAATAATGTAGAAGTTATGTAAGTGAAGACGTTAAGCAAGAGCCGAAAGACTTCAGTGGTGTTGTATCTCACGTGTAAAAGATAAAATATGATGTTAATGCGTACGATCGTTCGATATCAAGAATAATCTCGACAGATTAGTTCGACTATTATTTTTAACAATTCTAGGAAGTACGATAATCATGCTATCTATTTTACGACCGAAATGAGAGGAAATATATTGAAATACGATGCTTGCTTTGCTTCAGTGCACGCACACGAATCCGCAAAGAGCTCGGTGCATCAAATGGTGTCGTTTAATTTGCAAACTGAGGCTGAAAATACATATCGTAATTAAGCCAAAGAAAAGAGAGAAAAAATTAAGTTCAAAAGTTTCATGTCATCGAGATAAATGAGCCAAAAGACCATTTCATTTAAATGCGAACACAGTGAAGCGAAATCTTAGTATTGTTGGTTACTGATCCATAAATTCCAATGTTTATACGAAGTCATAGTTTTATTAAATTAATTGCACTTCACCCGAAGGAACAAATCTCCAAGTCTTTGATACAGTTTAAAGTGTTGATTTTCAATGTTTGTATCGATAACTTACATTACATCTGTCATTTGATAGTTAGATTTATATATTATACGCGTATATGTACGTATGTATATCTGTTAACCGCTGATTGCAATTATAGAAATGGAAATGTACCTAACTTCAGTTTGTAAAGCATGACTGATACGTGTATATATATATATATATATGTTTCATTTCGATCACTTGATATTCATTTCCTGACTCAGTTGTAAAGGATTTTTTACGGATATAGTTCAGCGATTAAGTGAAATCTTGCGAGTCGAGTGCACGCATTCTGTAATTGAAACTGAAAAACTGAATTATATATTTATATGGGTATTTATGCATTCACGTGTGCATAACCTTAAAAAGACAAATTCGACCGATGTACGCATATTGAGTGGATACTGTACACTAAAAGTTTGTATTTTATTTTGACGCAATATGTAGTTATTAGATTCATTTTAATGTTTTTTAGATATTTTGATTATATAATATAGGCGCCATTACACTATTTATTTACCTTAATGGTATGTGCTATTCTTCATTGAGAATGCAGAAGTCCAGCTTCGATGCTGCTTGCCTCTTCTGCAATAAGGGTTGGTCTTTCGAGACCAAGTTCATGAAACTACGGACCCTAGAGGAATGCAGAGAGCCAGGGACTAGATGATTTAAGTCTGAGATAATGTATATTGATAATCTGCTCGTCGAAATCGCGAAAAACTAAGCTCGCCAGAAACATGCGTGTTTTAATTCTCATAAGACCTTAAAAGAAACTAATCGATGCATGCTCTTGAGGAAAACAGAAAAACGATTCAATAAGTCAACGCGCAGTAATCGAGTAGATAAATTAGATACTAAATTTATAAAGTATCACGTAAGTGTAGGATAACATAAGAGTTTGAGGATAATTTTCTTGCACGTAGATAAATATATAAGGATTTCAAATGTTTCTTGAACATCTTCCAAAGTGTATAGTCTTTAACTGGTTGTAATATTGTTGCATATTATAATCAAACCAAGAAACGTCTTAAACTCGGCCACACCTTAAGACAAATGTAAATACGAAACTTCACTGTAGAATAAGTAGCAGGTGCAGTAAGTGCAAGTTACTATACACGTATGTGTATAGGGGAACGTTTAAAAAGACCGACTATCATTTTTGTCATAAGTGTATCTGTCGAAAGATATACCTGCTTCCAAAGTAGAATTACCCTAATCTAAAACGTTTTAAAATATATCTAAAACTTGTTTCCCTAACGATTCTCGCAATTACGTTGAGATATTCTATTTTTCTGTGTATTTAACGATATGGTTTAAAACCTTGAAAAATAGGATCGATGCATCTATTACACCTTAGTTTAAATAAATTCTTAATTACTTGGCACGGCTTTAGCAAGCTATTTCGCTATCTCTCGAACTTGATTTGAATTATGATATAAATATTGTAAGAAATAATATTTTATTTATAATAAATGACAGTAAATTTGATTTATTCGATTCACTGTACATTACTCGTTCTCGCGGACATACTTCTGTAACAATTCTTTCTTCATTTGTATGTAAGTCGCATCCGTTATATTTAAGAAAAACCTCAAGTTAGTAAAGTCCCAGTCGGATTTAGTTTCCACTTCGCGCCTCGTTCGAAAAACATTGGCAAAATCCGTTAATACTTCATTGTTATAAGTATTCACTGTGTTAATAGAAAGCACGGTTTTTCTTGAACGGTTTGCCGAGTGAACTCGAAAACTCAGATAAAGGAGATTCAAGAGTTTCGTTTCTTCTGAAAAAGGCGTATAATCGCCATGATCGAATGGATTTTCTAAATTTGGAACGCTGTCAAATTCATTTATCTGATCGAGACAATTAGAAATGAAACCTAGAATCTCATCGGAAGAAAATCCATCGCTTAGAAAGAAAAACGTATCTGATTTAATACGTGTTATATCAATAAGTAAATAGTAGTACAAAGCTTCGTTAAATCCTCGAATTCTATTTCCCGTTTTAAAGTTATAAAAGTTAGATTCATTTAGAATAACTTCTCTGATAGATTCTCGTATTTCTTGAACGTCATCTTGTAAGAGCATTAAGCATGATTTCCCTACTACTAACTTATCTTTATTCCGCAGCTTGTAATAATTGCGTATTAGTACCGACAAACATTCCAACGACAATTGTCTCTTCTTTTCATTGGCATCCGATGCATTTTGGAGAACGTACAATGTCGTCATCGAATTAGCGTCGTCATCATTACTTACAGAAGCTACTAACAAGTGAATTAAATGTTCCAGCTTGGAATTTCCTAGACGATACCTTACTTTGTCAATTAAAACAATGACGCTCTCGTCATGTTCCAATTCATTGATTTTTGCTGCGGGTAAACTTCTTGTAAAGTATTTAATTGAATAAGTAATCATAGCATCCAGTAATTGCGCGTTTTGGCTTTGACAAGTGCTCGCAATACGTCGAATAATATCCTTTGTCAATGCATCGTGTGGTTTAAGACAATTCAAGAAAGTTATCGTTAAAGGCAAGCTCGAAAAGTCAAACAGTTCGTTGATTTCGATATTAGTACGAAGCCCAAACTTGTGAAGACTGTCACACATTAGTGAAAGCACGAACTCACTAAATTCATAAGCACCTGGTCTGCCTTCTTTTAGTACCGAGTCAAGTGACCTTAAGTAATCCATGTCCAAGTGAAAAAATGACTCCAGAAATCCTTTGTTCCCTCCCATTTTATGACACAGTTTTAAAAATATTGTTTCCACGACGTAAGAAAATCCTTTCGAAGTTACACGATCTGGCGATTCGTCGTATGTAGAATTACGAACGTACGGCATGTTTATCACACGCTTCTGAAAGCAATGCAGATAAAATCTGTGCATTCGCTCAACTAAATTGGACGACTGACGTAATTGGACAAAACTCCACTCTGGAGTTTTCGCGGCGTCCAATTTAGCCAATAGATAGTATGTCGTGCACAAATATCCGTGAATCAAATTGGTATTCCTGAGAGTTATAACAGTCTGCATTATTTTTTCCACTTCTGTACAGATTCGTGAAAAGGCCGTTAAAGCTGTATAAGCTTTCGCAGCTAAAAGTCTGACGTGACTAATGACGCTCGCAAGGAGCTCTCGGATACAAAATTTAACTCGTTTAATGTATAATTCGGACGAGTAGTCTATGAAATCGCAACCACCGGTGGACATTTTGGAAAACAGAGTAAGAATCTGCATGCAACTCGACTGATCGTTAAATGTGGCGTTTAAGGATTTGGATGAATTTGAGTAGCTTTGGAGACTCTTCAGAGCGTGTTCGGCGAGTCGTGGATAATGCGTGATAAAATGATCGACGGAGCAGCCGTTAACTAAAGTTGATGTCTGCGATTCCGATGTTTGGCCTACTAATCTGGGAACTATCGTGCAGAATAACCGTAAGCTTGCATTTCTGAAAATAAATACGTGTGAGCCGTGATTTATGTATACCCTGGAAGAACTTGACCTTGTAATATAAATGTTGTACCTTATCGGCCACGCATGTGATTGTATATGTTGAAAACATGTCAGGCAGATGTCATCTAAATATGATACTAATTGTGGATGTAATTCCTTGTCAGCCACCAAAGAACACAAGAAGTGCAGATACGCAGTACGTGAAGAATCGTAGATGCACTCAGGGTCATCGATACAATTTTCTGTTCCATCTTGAAGACAATTTAGTAACGTGCGTACGGCAAAATGCAAAAGAGGCCTGCCTTTTCTATCGTCACTTGCAACGATTTTGTGAAACATTATTGTTCGACCTGCACCACGTCTAGTCAAATTTACACCTTCCTTCTGGTCAGTTTCTAAGAGTTTCCTCAGATATGTCTGTGGCAAGGTATTGTAGCGATTCTCTTTGCACAAACATCTAAAGGTAAACGATACAAAGATATTAATTTAACCTGTACATTCTATAAAATCATTTCACTTGAAGTCTACCTTGATAATTGTGCTATGGAGACTCCTGCTGCTTCTATTGCTCCCTTGTGACGACATTTCAACAATACGGATGCTATTATATTGAATGAACGATGCACGGTATCCTCTGACAAAAGCAAGAGACCTATCTCACAGGCTGTTTCGCACGAAACCTTAAAAATGTGAGATGAAGACACGTAATGTCTTTAAAAATATGCAATGAACGTTTATATATAACAGACATAAGGTACCTTTAAGGACATCCATATGCAGGACACGATCAATTGATGAGCCGGAGTCAAAATCACCTCATCGTACTCATTACTCATTGTACTTGATTTTACTGCTTCGTTAATTGCTAAGCCCATTTCAGCAAACGAGGAGGAATTTTCTACGGGTACAGAAAGATAAATCGAAACGGGTACAATCTTATAAAATGATATAAATATAATAAAATACTCTGTGCTCTCGTTACCTAAATTGGAAGACTTCGAGTTAAGCAGTGATAAGAAGAAATCCGTTGCTTCCTCCAGAAGACTTAGTAGCTTTATTGCAAACGTTTGTTTTACGTTTAACTCGGATTCTAGAAAACCAACTGCTAAAATTCCCATTATAGACCCATAGAAAGGTGAGCCCTGAATGATGGCTTTTAAAATATCTTGTTTTATCTGGATAAGTTGTTGTTTCGCGTCATGGTAATAGAAATCAACATAGTTTGTACACAATTTTAAATAACACTCTTCCATTCTACTAGTTAGGACATCTAACGTTCGTGCTTGCTCGAATGGTATCCAGTGTGTCATTATTTTGACGAGAGCCACTCCACTTTCAATTTCATAGAATTTCGAAGAATTACACTTTGTTACTGCTGTACCTAACAGCATCTGGAATTCAGAACATTAAAAAAGTCATGTGATAAATCTAATAATTTAGCCATGAAAATAGAATAGCCCTTACTTTCTTTTCGGAATCCATTAAAATATTGTGATCGAAATGGTCCAATATAATCGTGGTAGCTGTATTCCTAACATCATCCGCAGGCTCCAAAACAAGTTTTATCAGCATGAATAAACTTTCTTTGTTTGTAAAGGTCCACATGCCCCGTGTTTTAAGATGAGCACCCAATACAAAACCTGAATGTTGTTTCTTTTGGTGACGAGAAGTACTTGTTCGTGGACTATTGTTGCAGTAGGAGGCGTTAGTTTGTGACAGGACAGTTTTATACAGATTCAAACCAAGGATCTTCCTTTGGTAACAAGAACCAATCTCAAAACAATCGAGCAGGTACTCGTGTAACCATTTCATGAAGTCAAGAACACAGGCATCGTTGCTCTTGCAGGCACTGATAGATTTTTCCAAATTTCTAAGGAAAATTTTGAAGTAACGGATGATTCCATCTCTCAGAAATGCTGTCGTAATACTTGAGCTGAGATATAAGAGATGCTTCAACGTAGCAAATGGTTCACTGTTACCACTGCCAATACTGCAGCATGCATTATAACAGTTGATGGCAAATTCATTTATCCTGATGCTGTCATTTGAATAACATCCGTAATGTGTTTTGCACACTTCAAATTCATATCCGATTTTGCTGGCTATCCTCTCCAGATGTGACAGAAATAGAGTAGCATGGAGACGAGCAAATTTTTTACACAAAAATGGTAAAATATCTCTGAATCTGTCAAGAGTCGGCTCTAACCAATATTTACACAGTGCATCAAGAGAAGTATGTTCCCTACAGCAATGATTAATTAATTAATTATTAAGTTTTCTTTTTTTACAATTCATGTGTGAAATCTTACCGAGGTGAGGATTCCCAATTCAAAACAAATAGTTTTAAAGGCATGTAAAAAGCCTCTTGCCATTGCTTCCCATCGAGTTTAGAAGTAATACAGGTGTACAGCTTTGTGCCAGCATTGCGTAGGTGGGTTTTGGTCAAACTCATGAACAAAGTTGTTAAAAAATCTATTCCAGTGAAGAGTGAAACATCGTTCCATATGTTGCATATTTCTGATAATATGACATATTTTACTTCGTCCAACCAAGACATGTTGTAAACACAGCATTCAAAAACGAACTTAATGAAACCTTCGTACTTATCCTCCATTATTTTCAAATATAAATTAAATATCAGTGTGGCATTTTGTTTTCTGATATCTGAGATTGAATTGTCCCAATTTGAAGAAATAATTGCTTCAAGTTTATGCTCGTACATCAATTCGTTATTTGTCCAAAAATTATTTCTCAATGTGCTCAGCAGCCATGTATGTAAAACTTTGTAAGCAAAGTAGGAATATTTGGTGTAGCGAATGCAGTTTGCGTATATCACATCAAATGATAGTATACAAATGGCTTTTGAAAGGATCGCATCCTTACTGACTTGCAGATACCCATTTGTAATTGTTAGCTTAAATAACTCTGCATCGCGAATATGAAAATCACTGTCAAATGATTGAAGTCGATTGTTATTAAATGTTAAATAACATTTCAAATTCTTTTCAACTTCTTCTGGGAAGCATATAAGAATCATGGAGAAAGCACGAGATGCTAACAGTATGTAATCACCGCCGATATCTTCATTATTAGTTAAAATTGTCAATAATTCTGTTATAATTGATTTCCATTGTGCAAATTGTAGGTTACCCTTATATGCAGCCAAAATTATTCTCTAGAAACGTGAAATGAAGGAGAGATAAGTAAATATCAATGGTTCCTATGCTGTATTTAAATATAACCGTTCTGCAATAATAAATAAAATACTGACACTGAAAGTATGCGCATGTTTGTTTCTCTCACTTTGTAACTCCTGTGAAATTTGTTGCGATTCCATATTATACCATCGATTTGTAATCTGTAAGAAGTTTAATAATTCTTAATAATTCCCCTTTAATTCTCAATATATTTGTACCTTAATACTCTTGGTTAATACATGGAAACTGCTTGTAGTCCGTGTTCATTTGCACAAAAAAGTCCTCATTGTCATATTGCATTCAGTTGGTAGGATCTTTATGCTTTACACGGAACGCAATGGCGTGCCGCTTCTGTGAAGGGATTTTGACAGAAACTTCTGAATCTTGACATAGTTTCATACCATCTGAATTACTATCCCTGAAATTAAGACATATTTGTTGTCTATTTAATTGCAATCAATACAGCGTACTATAATATAATTTATTATTTAATTCCTTAGTTGCACTGGTTAACAAGTTTGAAACTATGCATTCCAAGTCACGGTACATTAATAATTATTGATGAGTTAAGAAAAGATCAGATCTTGTTTGTAACAATATATTTTAATTCGAAATCAGATGTTACAATGATTAAAGAAGGTTAATACAAGTCGCTAGGAAATTCTTATTAGAGAATTAATTCATTATGTTACTGTTCTTCTTTCCTCGGAAATTCTGGAACATACCCTTGTTTTTCTATCTGTTCCCTGAATTTTAGGTACTCTCGCTTTCGATCAAAATGCTTTACCTGTCCAAGCAAGTACAACCATTAAAGGATAACAATGTAGTCAGGAAACTGACTTGGGATATTTCTGATAAAACTTTTCAATGTTTAAAAAAAAAAAAACTGGTAAATTACACGAAGTTATAGAAATTATTTGGTTATTTCGAAGAGTTCGCTCACCCACTGTGAAGGGCAGAATTGTTCATATCGTTTTCTATGTTCATTACACTCTGTATCTGACTTTCCTTGATCTAAGCATTGCCAGTATTCATCTCGATGCCCCCAACATTTAAGACGTTCTTCCTTATTTAGAAAAGACATTCTGCAATCAATAGTTATTTACCATTTCAAAATTTCAAATATAAGGTTGGATAATTTCTCTTCCAATTTAGAAGCATCGTTCAGCTGCTTTCAATTAAATTTAAATATATTTTTTGACAATTATTGATAGTATTTTTCAAGTTTAGAACTTACCTACGGTAATGAATACAACGCTCTTATGATCAAGATGACAAAGCAATACAGGTGTTCACTCTCAGACACGTTTCAATGCACGTTTAAGACAAGAATAGTTGTTAACAGATCCTCCTAATGCAAGAGGAAAAGCAACTATACTTTAACAACAGAGTTAAATAGAGATATCAGTATAAAAAGTTTAACTAACAAATTAAACTGTATAACTCCACAGTTTCACGTCTAACTGGACGAAACACTGTTCCTTCAATGAAAAGTGGTTTAGCATCTGTCAACCTTGAACTAAAAATACTATGATTTACTATCTCTCACTGAAATAATTCTGAATGAATGTCAAAGGATTCTCAGATACGCAGAAGTCTACATAAATAGAACAGTCAACTCACTCATGTTTTTCCAGATGTATAAAAAGCTTGTGTTTAAAGTTTATCAGTCTACCTATTTGTTCAATTATATCAACTACAATCGCAATTACTAATTATAGCGAGAGTAAAATAGACATTTTCATTCAAAATTAACCAACATAAATAGGTTATGTAATAATGCTTATATTAATGAGTGAGAATTAAAAGCATAAATAACAAAATATTACAATAAAATGCAATAGACAATGGTAAAAACATATTATATGTATAATATTTACAGTAGTGCAAACTGATATTTAAAGGAAACATACTGAATTTTATTTCAAATCGGCTTTGAGGTTATAACGCAAGTCGGTCACAATTGGTCCTCATGCTGGATCTTCTACAAAGATTTCCCGACATGTAATTTTTTACACGATTGATTTTAAATTGCGTCCTTGGCAACGCAGTTAAACTATACCGCTAATTACAGCATCATCACCATAAATTTAATATTGGTACATAACCAACCTGAGAATTTTTATTTTAAACCGTATAGTGCCTAGAACTGCTTTCTTAATGTTCTCTTGCATGCGACATTACAGTTTCCGTCAACCAATTAATTAATAATTATGTATCTTTTATGTTAAGATTCTCTATTTGAAGTTCTTCGCGTTGAAATCGGATTCTGCAAAGAAATCTTATAAATTGAAATGAGTTCCGCAATCTCCAAGATCGAATTAAAAGATAAGCCCTAAATTGAAGAGCAACAGAGAGTGCTCATCCTTAGACCATAAATATCAAGACCTCGCATAGCAGTGGAAGGCAAAGATGACAGAGATGAGTTGGGAGATTGCTCACGGGCAGGGTCGCGCGATCGCACCGTGTG